AAGGAGATGTGCTAGAGACTTGAAATTTTCAGGGTATCTTAAGGTCCACTTCTAGAGAACGAAACGCCTACGGCAAATCCTGGCAACCACCCTTAAGGGTGTGAATGGGGGTATGCAAGGTTCAAAAATTCTTCGAAAAAGTAATTTTTTTTATGTTCTTCTATGGGGTAACTCGTCAAAGTAGAGGCCTACGGAAGAAAATTTCGTCCGTTTTGCTCTATCTCTAACCGTTTAGGTGCTAGAGGGTCTTTTTTTTGACGAAAATAAGCTAAAAATTGCCATAGTTAACAATAAGTTGTAGTAAAAGGCCTAAAAACCGCAAAATAGAAAGGAAACTCTCCCCCCACCACCCAAAAACGTTTTCTAAGCAGAAGGGTGGGTTGTAGTCGCGGTGCTTCACCGTTACATCCCTTTCTCGAGGCTTCGGGGCAAACTCAAACACGACGGGTTTAAGCGGGCCGAAGGCCCGCTTAATCATTCGACCATGTTCTTCAGCAAATCGTGTGACAGAAATGGTCGGGCCGCAGGCCCGACCATCGCCGCCGGCAGGCCAAGCAGGCCCGGCCGCTGCCGAACGGAGTTGCCGGCGGAGCGAAGCGGAGCCCTACAGTGCAAGGCGGCGCGGAGCCCCTTACGGCGGCGGGGCGGGCCACCCGCTCGCGCGCGTGCCGGCGGGAGGCCTACCCGGGGCCCCGGGGCGTGTTCGTACGTACAGGGAGTAAATGTGTGAATTCAGGGGGCGGCAACGGCTCGGAAAGCGCCGTACCCACGTAGACAGCTGTAGACAGCTGTGTCATACCTACGCCGTACACGACCTAGCTCGAAAAGGATGGCTTTTCGAAAAATGTGTCATGACAGTAAATGAAGCCAATGAACCGCCGATGTACTGAGCTATCATTTTTGAAACTCGACGCCGAAGTTTACATTTTTGATTGTATCTCTGCAACCGTTGGTCCGAATTTCAAAAATGATAGCTCAGTACATCTGTCGGTTCCTGGGCTTCATTTACTGTCATGACACATTTTTCGAAAAGCCATCCTTTTCGAGCTAGGTCGTGTACGGTGTAGGTATGACACAGCTGTCTACCGCATGGGTACGGCGCTTTTCGGGCCGTTGCTGCCCCCTGAATTCACACACTTTTGCCTCCATGTGTGCGAAATGGCGCTCAAACGCACCTACAAGCGTGCGACATTCACACGCTTGGGTTTCCGGCAGCACTGCCGCCAACACGGGGCCACACGGGGCGGCAGCACAGTGCAGCAGGCGAGGCAGGGCGACAGTCAACAACTTCCCCTTTTTTCTCTTTTCGCCCAAAACCGACTGACGACCATCCTTACCACTAGTTCCTTCCTTCTCCCCTCCCCCTCCCCCCAAGTCCCCACCCTCCTCGCGCGCAGAGGGACCAGCAGAAGACCAAGACACAACTTTGTTCACGATATTTTTGACAGCTCGCGGGGGGGCACCTTCTCCGGTCCTACTCGGCTCAGCACGGCTCGGTTCGAGTTGAAGCCGCAGTAACGAGAGTCAGTTCCTCTCTCTCTCTCTCTCCCCACACACTCACACTCGGGGCGCGCAGCCACGGACTGTGAAGGAAAATCAAGTCCTCTTATAGCCGAGGAGTCGGAGAGGCGGGGCGGGGCGAGCAGGACGTGAACGAACGTCTTATTTCCTGAACGCGTCTCTCGAAGAGGCCCGGCCAGGCGCCGACATAATTGGATATATGGTTAGCTCGCAGGCTGCGTTCCGCTCCCAGTTCTCTAGATCCCCCATCTCTCTCTCTCTCTCTGTAACTCCCACCCCCTCCCCCTTCTTTTCCAACTCGGCTCGCGGGGCTGCTTCTTTCAAGAACGCGAAACGTTCCCTGCGAAGAGACAAGACGCAGGAAGAACAAGACGGACAAGAAGGAATGACAACACTGACAAGAAGGATGAGAAGAAAAGTGGCGAGGAGGAAAAGGGGTGGAGAGGGAAAGGAAAGAGAAAAGAAAAGAAGGTATCCTCCAGGATCAGCAGGGGGGTGGGAGTTGAGGGGGGAAAGGGCTCGGAGGCGCGGTGGAGGTGGAGGTGGAGAAAGGAGGGAAGGGGGGAAGGGGGGAGTTTTATTTTTATCATCCACTTGCAATAGGAACGAACGTGCCGGCTCCTCGTCTAATATCGATTTCGGGGTTCAGCAGCTACAAAGAAAATAATTCCCCCCCCCCTGCCCCCTGCTCCCTTACCACGCTTTGCCCCCCAATCTATTTTTTTTCCCCTTTCGTGGTTCCTTCTTAAGGCTCCCGGTATAGGTTCGAAGCGCTAGGCGCGTGGATTACAAGCCTCGCAATGATGTTGTTGTTGTTGAGGGGGGGGGGGGGGTAAGAGGCATCCGCGAGACCAAACCACGCGTGGCTGTTCCATCAAATTACGAGCAGACAGCCAGGCGAGCAGACAGACAGGCCCGCTGGCAGACACAGACGTAAAAGCAATTATGAGTAGTGAGCTTAACGACTTTTTGTTCTTTTGTTTTCGAATCTAGGCCAATATTTTACACACAAGGGCTTTTTCCCCATTTCCCCCCAAGGTCACATTATCCCCCACCCCTTCTTTTACACCCCCCTTGCACACACACACACACTCCCGTTTTTATTTTTCATTCGAGAGCACCACCACTCTACGACTACTATATTTTCCTTTTTGTTTTTTCGCGGGGACAAAAACTTGCGCAGTTTCTTGTGCGCGCGATTTTCGACGCGCGGAGGAAGGCCTCCTCCTGACTGATATGCGCCAAATAGTAAAACTTCTCCGACCGGGACGGCTGGGAGGGGGAGGGAGGGGAAGGCAGAGGGATGGGGGCAAGGAGGGACAGAGGCAGGGCGGGGAGGGAGGGAGAGGGAGAGAGAGAAGGAGAGAGGGAGAGAGGAAGAGGGAGAGAGGAGGAGGAAGAGAGGAAGAGGGAGAGAGGAAGAGGAAGAGGGAGAGAGGAAGAGGGAGAGAGGAAGAGGGAGAGAGGAAGAGGGAGAGGGAGAGAGAGGGGGAAGGAGAGAGGGAAAGGAGAGAGAGACGGGGATAAAAAAAACATTCCGCACACACGCCATGTCGTCGCGTCCCCAAAAGTTTTTTGTTCAAGCAATAACAAGGGAGGAAAAATTACTCGCGCACGGCTCCCTTTAAAAGTTTAGAACGACATTCGGACCGTAATGCCGGCGTATCCTTCATTCCGAGGGGGTGGGGGTGGAAGTCTCTGGGAGCGGGAGCGAAAGGCGGTGGGGGGTAGGAAGGAAAGGGGTTTGTGTACGTACACTCTGAGCTCCCAGGTAGCTAGAGCAGAACGTGCAAAACTAGGGCAAGTAGGTAAAGCCAAAAGAAAAATGCTGCTCCAATATTTAGTGGTAATTTTATCTCGCCACATTAGAAAAGCAACACTGTGAAAAATAGTAGGTAGGTTTACAGGAAAATTTTCCTTGACGCAAGTTGTAAAATAACAATTTGGAAACGTAAAATTACATGCAGTACCTATCGACTTCAGATCCATTGGCGAGTAAAAAATGTTCTGTCGTAAATTTACGACTTAAATTATAATTCGAGTTTACAAAAATTTTGTAAATTTACGACGATATTTTTTACAGTGAACGTACATTTCCTAAGAGAACTCCGACTTTTTGTAATATAACGTATAAAGCATCACCGAGTTCTCTGTACGAATCTTGGGCATGGTGCTGAATAACATGTAACATAGCTCTTTTACATCTCATGCGAGCTGCCCCACAGACAGCGCATTAAGTTAGTGTGAACAGTGTTATTTAAACACTGTGACGTCACTTTTTGGTTGGAATACTATGTCACATTCGTTATAACGTGACATGTACGCCTACCATGCACTAACTGAGCCCGTGGGGGAAGAGCAAGGCAAGGGTGGGT